TATTAGATATGGTCAAAGTTACATACATTTTTCATTACATCTTTGTTTTATTTAAACATTCTGGAAAAAAAATGTATTACTTAATTTTATGAAGATGATAATTAGAGTCCCAACTAATGGATTCCAACAAGTTGTAACATTATTATACAAAGCTTATACTGACTGATTTGTAGACTGATGTATCGTGTTTATATTTCTACGTTAATTTTCTTCGCATTATCGTAAAGACGAATAAAGTCTCTCAAAAGATCCGGAAGTCGTTCAAAGATCGCCGCCGACGACTACCTCGGGCTACCGGTTTCCTCGTGAGTTCCAAAATAAAAAGGTACGGAAGGGGTAGAGAAGAGAAGAACGGAACCAGTGAAATGCGTGAGAGGATCGACAGAGAGGAGAAAAAATCGACGATATAGACGAGTAGAGGAAAGGACGCCTTGTAGCCGCACATTCGGGACATCGTACGTCAGAGGGGCCCGAGCTCGTGGGAACACGAGATGCCTACAGGCCTGACAACGGGGGCCTTGCTCGAGGCCCCCCTGGGCCCGTGCTCCAGGTAGATAACAAGGGTCTGCCTAGACGAGTCGGACGACGAAGAGAGCACGGAGCTACAGAGGGAGACAGAACGAGTACACATGGGGGCGACAGAAGAGTGGGAGAAGGAATAGCGAGCCCCCCCCCCCCCCCCCCCCCACCTTCTCTGAGGTGACACCGCCGAAAAATGCCCGCCAGCATTCCTAGAGATTTTTTCGGCCTTTGTCGAGCGCGCGATTGTATGACGTCGCATCACGATCGGATCGAGATTTGATCATAACTCAATGTTGAGTTTCGCGTTGAGCTTAGAGAGAGCGTATTTTCTGACTAATACGGAAATTACTTTTTTAAAGTACTACGAGAAAAATTGAATGAAACACATAATTATTAAATTTATATCGAACATTAAAAGATTTCCGCGAAAGAAACTGGGATAAAGCGAGTAGAGAATTTTAATCGGACCCTCGATTTAATAATGCAGTTGATCTTTGGTGATTTTTCGCGAATCACTGTGCACCCGCCTTCTCGCGAGAGGGTTTTAATGGACGGCGAACCCTAACGATACGCTGAATACGCCAAATGAGACGTGACCGGAAAAACGAGTAGGGATCGAGCTGCTTGCCCATAGTAGGACTTTTAAAAGGAACCCACGTGCGCCTGACGATGCACCCGCGTAACTATTGTTATGCCGATGCGCTTCGGGAACAATCACAATGAGATAAATCATTTTGCTGCTTTAGGATTCTCTTTTTTAATCAAACAAATAAAGGCAACAGTCACTCGTTTATCCTCCATTTGGTACTCTTGTTTTTATGATATGTAGAAAATTAGTATCTAAATTAATTAATTTGCTTTTTTAACTTTTAACATTTAAAATATTATAAAAGATAATAATAATTGATTATAAAATATTAAAGTTAGGTTAAAAGTTAAATTAAATTAAATTCTATTTCTTCTGCAACTTTATAATTATTATACAATTTAATTGTATAATAATTATAAAGTTGCAGAAGGAATAGAATTTAATTTAATTTAACTTTTTTATAATTTGTAATAGAAGAGAAAATAAAATGATAAACAGTCTCTTACGAATTTAAGCAAAACTTAGAAAATGTGCTAGATCCTATGTTGTTCAATAAACGAAAGCGTCTGTATCGTTAGAACGGTGTAAGATGGAATCAAAGGATGCCCGCGAATAGAGTGCGAATCTCGTTGATGTCGGATCCATTCGCGAGACGCTCACCTCGTTGCGTTTTTGCTCTGCATAAATGATGAGCCCGAGTATTTTAATGAAGACATTCCGCAGCTGCTTGCCGGCTCCTTGGCGCACGAGAGAAAGAGGAAGGACAATCCCCTTGACTCGGATAGACATCATCTCATCGACGTCTCAATGACTCAGTAAACAATAACAAATTATAAGAACGACTTTTATTGATTGACTTTAATCTTCTGACAATTATAAATATAAATATTAAAGAGAGCACATAATAAATTACGAAAAAAATTAAATAATAAAACTAAAAATAAATTAAATCAAAGTTAAATAATATTGTTGAAATGATAAGTCATAAGTAAATCCTTTCTGATGACTGCGAATTTCTTTGAGTGATGCTTTATGGATAGATGATTTATTATAAATATTTGATTGCATAAATCTCATTAATACAAAAAATATATTACTTCTATTCTAGATTTTTAGTTTATTAATTGCCATTGTACAGTTTCACAAAATCTGTTGTAAGATAATTCTACCGTAATGTGTAACGAGCTTAACGGATATACCAGTGGCTTCCGGACTTCCGTCCTTGGAAAAGATGTCCTGCCGATCGCAGTTGACCGGCTGCATTCCTCGATTCGAGGATCGCGACGCCGTGGAATGCTCGAATCATGCTCCCTAATTCCTCGATGATCCAGGCCGACTATACGAAGATCTACCGCGATCTTCTACAATCTAATGCTTGAAGAGACATCCCGCGCGGCAGGTAGCCTCTTGCGCGAGAAGGAGGGAGAGACTTCTGTCAGCGTGGTCGATTATATCTATACGTTTATCTACGCCTATGTCAGCCACGAGAGATAACCGAATGTCCCTGTTCTATGTACGAGAGAACATGCGGCTCGTTTATGTAATAGGGGATTCCTACCGTGGACAGCATGCTGGTGGCAGGAGGACGGGGGAGAGGAGAGAGAGAGAGAGAGAGAGAGAGATCCTATATATTTCCCTGATCATAAATCTACCTCGTGGGAGAAGACGCTGATATCATGTGGGGTCCAGGGTGAAGACGAAGGTACATTGTGGCTGATGGTAATTTTGGGTAAAATAGGAATTTAAGTAAATCTAGGAGGGAAGCTTCCGATATTTTTTATTTCTTCATCTTTGTCCTGGCCACGTGAAAACTCTTAGAGTTATCAGTTATTAATTATAAATATTTCTTAGAAAAATTTAGTAACATCAAACGAAATAGTTACATAAAAAAAAAGCAGAAAAGTTATAGAAAAGATTATTTCTATAACTAAAATTGATCCAAAGATTGGAGATACGCAGCTTTTTTAATTCCGTTGTCATCAATTGCTCGATTTATGCAGACGGTAAATTTGGACTTTGACAAATGGTCGACAAATTCAAAGAAAAATTAATATTCATATTCACGGTCGAGCCATTTATTGTGCCGGTGCAATATCAACGATTCTCGACCCCCTTATATTATCCCAGTGAGTTACAATAAAGAGGGGAGCTCACGTGTATTTGGTATTTAATTACCGCGAAGTTTGAGGGGTGATTCGTACAAGAGTATTTGATTATTTATCCCACAAATATTTTGGTGTTTTCAATGTTTCAATCACACGAAAATTTAAGAAATTTTATTTTTTTACTATGTGTGTGACATTTTCTTCCAGTTGTAATTTCTTCAGAATAGTTAAATAATTTTAAAGATAATAATTTTAAAGATAAATGAATTGATGGACATAGGAAGCTGTTATTTATTTCAATATTTTAATTTCTTGATTTCGTTTTTAACGTCAATTTATGACGTCGTAGAAGAAAGTTCAATAGCGCGCTAATAAATTTGCATATGCGATCCTATCGCGGGCGTAATAGGAACAGTGAATAAACTATCGACCAAACAAAAGCCAGTTCGGTAATTACAACAGCATAGTATATTCTAGAGTCTGGCAATAAATCTCGCTTCTACTCTCCTTTCCTCTCTCCATCTTCCTTCAGAGCCTTCTCATCTTCCGTATATATACGGTGTTTCCACTATTATCTTTCTCGTTCATACTAAATTTCTTGAAAAATTTGGAACTTATTTATACTATTGTAAGTTATATTGCAAATAGCATTAAATTAATTGTAATTTAATTATTTATAATTAATTCTTTTATTGAATTTTTGCTAAGAAAATCAATTCCAATTATGTAAAGAGAATTGACACCCTATATATATTGGTCGTTCTCTTCTTATCCGAGAATCGAGATTAGGAACTCTCTTAGTTGTTGCCGTGCGAAGATTTATTTTATTATATGCTAGATTTAGTGGCGGCTACCGTTTATTGAAATCAAATCCCGATCTTAGATTACGAGGCAACAACGGGGCAACGTCCGCCGTCATTACGAGGTGCTTAATTACCACTAAAGCGAAACAAACTCAACAAAACCGACACGTTACAAAGGATATTTCTTCGGTAAACGCAAAGTTATCTCGCGCGCGATAAGCTCAGCAAAGTTTAATTGCATTCCAAAAATCATGTCTTGGAATTTAATTGTCATATCAATCTTGCATACAAAAAGATAATGGATCTATATTAATTGCGACAAATCAATCCTTTAACGATATAGATTTTTATAAAATTAATTTTTATTTTGTTTCATTAATCTGATAGATAAAATAAGATAATTGAAACTAAGATAATATTTTATCATCGATGAAAAATTAAATTATATATATTTTCTATGTACAAGAATGTCTATCTTTAAATATTTTTATAAAACTGTTAAAGATTATATTGTATATAAATATAATACGGATTTTCGTGTTGCAATTAATTTTAATATAATTTATATACATAAATTTATCGCCACACAAAGAGGGAAAATGAAATTATGCTAGTAATATATGTATCTAGAAATATGACAATGAAAACCAGGAAGCTCGGCATTTCGCCGTTCTTCACGTGGGTCTCACGTGGTTTCCGGTCGGTAGTTTTTCCGCGTCTAGCCACAGCATATGTACGATTGCGTAAGAAAACACGGGGATCATACGAAATGGTAGAAGAAACGGAACAGACTGATTTATGTATGTTGCCGGAGCGATGTCCCGACTAAAGTCGACGATGTTAAATTGCCGGATAAAACGCGATCCTTTACAGAACATTTATAGCATATATAAGCTGACATCACTGCTATACATGACACACTAAAAATATTCGAATTATTCTTTACAAAATATTCATAAAGTATTTATGCACTCGAATCTCAAGATATAATATATTTTTAATATGTCGTTTTAAATTATTGATTTGTTCTACCTTTTTGAATTATAAAAGAAAATTAAATAAAAACAAAATTGCGCGTATCTCAAAAACCGACTCTATTCTTGTATTGAACATGTTAAAAAGCAAGAGGTTTATTTTCTCTCCGGTGAAATTGAAATTGACTAGTTTCTTATAGCAAAACCATCCTATAAAGATTCTTGTTTTGAATGTAATATCGCTGAATCAAATAATGCCCCATAAAAACTCGAGATAGTAGTGATAATTTATTAAAGGCTATAAGACATATATGCACACACTATTTGTCTTAAAGCAGACGCGGACTATGAACGGCATATGCTTTACACGTGATAACGCGCGCGTCGATCATCTGCGCGTTTCCTTCTCGGTCGAAGTGACGAAGTTAATTGCTCGTTTTCTCATCTCGTTAGCGTTACTTCCGCCTGCGTCGGGAAAACAAATGCGCAAGCCCACGTGTTACGGGCTTAAATTAATACCCTCGAGTTATTAAGCTGCATGTAGAACATCGCGTTTTCTCTTAGAACCTCGAGCAGACAAAACGCCTCTTAGCATCTTCTTTGTTAATCGAAAATAATTTCTTCGAAAAAAATGCAGTATAAATGAGTATAAATTAAAATTTTAATACCAAAGTTTTAATAGTATACTTAATGTTATAATTTGCAATAATTTGCTTACCTGCATTTTTCAAGGCGAGATGGAAAGCCGTTGGACAGAAAACAAATTAAACTTCCTGTTCTTATTACGTGCTCGATTAACTTTCCGTGCCTGGAGCACCACTAAATCCAACGATGTGTAATTAACCAGGGTGAGCGTAACGAACCGCGAAAAACATAAAATCTTATTTCCCACGGCGGAAAATTGCTTTTAGGAACTAGATGATTAGAATTAATAAAAAGAAACATAAGAAATATATAAATTAATAAAATTAAATTATAAATCTCAAAACATATTTCTAGCCAAAAATGACAAATGTTATTCTTATTGATATTAATTTAATAAAATAATTGCAGAACGCAAGAAAATTAAGGATGTGAAACTCTAAAGATCGAAAAAAGTTTGAAAAATCGATCTTCGTTATAATGAGAAAAAAAATATGATATCGACGGTAAGTGAAAAAGAAGCAAATGATGTGATATGTGAATTATTTATTTAACAATTAGGCAGGCGATAACATGAGATGGATACGATGTGCTTAATGTAAGTAATACGATAGTGATTATACCGGACAGATACTAAACGGTGAAATAGCGGCCGAGAAAGATTTGAAAGATGAAGAGATAAGATGTACGTGGGGTGTAATTGGGGTGCAAAGAATAATAGTTGACTCGTCGGATAATAACTATTTTAATTCGCTAACTCTCTCGAGAAGATTTCATATCTGCAACGCCCATTGTTTATGATACATTAATAATAATAATAATAATAATAATTAATAATATATTTATATATATGGCAAGATCATTGGTCAATAAATACTTCACTTAAATCGGCAGCTAAATTTGCCAAATAATCATTTGCTAATCTTGAGTAATGTCTCGATTTGAATTCTAAAAGAAGAATCTCTTTCTCTCTCTCTTATATTTTTTAAATTCTTACCTTGCTTTTAATAAATAATTTATTGAATGCTCATAGGCTCTTCTCATTTAGCCACCGCATTCTTAATAAATTAAGAAATCCCAAGGTAATGTCTTATAGCAAAATCAAAGACATATTATATAATTATTTGGAAAATTTAGGTGTGCCTTGACGGTCTAGATCGCGCTACGCTATTGTACCAGCTGAAGACGATTCTCGGTCGCATTCTCACGGCCAATCTCTCTTTAATGTCAGACAGCAGTCACTATAAAGGTAATAGTGCGCGCAAATATAATTCGTCTAATACTATCTTTTTTATACTAGTAGTAGATCCTTAAAAGACGTAGGTAACATTATGTACAACGATGAACAAACGACAACGCGACGAACGCCCGGTCGTCATTTTTGCTCAACAATGTCCTCGTTCCTCTTACATTTGTATTTTTATACGATCTAATCGCGTCATTAAATTTTCTCATTAATCAAAACACAATCGTTCAGTCGTCCTCTGAATTTAAGGAAACCGCATGCCTCCTGCCGATCTCCATCGCTCGATCCTAGAACCAGTAGAGGTCCTTGGAATCCTGAACTTGAGACTCGAGTCCTGTAACACGGAACAAGAGAAATGTTCTTAAATATACAATCTTTTTTTAACCTATCAATATTTCTGATCTGTTCGTATAATAATTGAAATTAAAATTTTATTATGTGCTTACAGTGAAACATCCTATATATCTACAGTAAATCACACAATTCAAACACAGGTCTCTCGCATTTCTTTTATAATTACAGATAGGAAATATAGAAAGAGATTCTCAACCGTTTAATAATGCCTGACTTTTTATTATTTTTAAGTTAATTTCCAGATTTTTATTAAGATAATCATTAAAAATGACTATTTTTCACGTGTAAAATTCATGTCCGTGAATAAATTGTATAATCGCTTAAAAAAGATTGCACTTTACCATATTTCCGTTTGTCAGAGACATATTTCATTCGTCATAAGATGCTCGAATTGTATAATTCATCTTGTATACGCATATGAGAGTATTATTTGCTTAAAAAAAAAAAAAAAAAAAAATAAAACATTTCTCTATATTTTTCTCCAGATTTTAAATCAGCTGTTAAAATGTTTCATAAATTGTTCGAAAGCAACATTACCAAATAAAAGATCGATCTCATATAAAGAGGCTTCCGGCATTCCAGTGAGAGATTCCTAAACGTTATACAAACGATCAGCTGTTTGAAGCTGCTTTCTGATTTGAAAGGCGTCTCTTGTCGTTGCTTGAAATTATTTATCGGCAGTAATAAAAGGAGAGACAACGTTATGACGGATGCGAAGGTGCAGAACTGGTGATGGCACCCGCTGAGCAACACGGACGAACAAACGGACGGACGAACGAACGGAATAGACAGATGGGGCCCGATGTCACGAGACCGGTCAGTTAAGATCTCATGTCTCTTGCGACCGAATTTATCTCTTATCTCGATATACCGAAGATTGAAACGACAGATCATCGTCGCCGATACAGCATCCTTATATAGTCCGCATAGAGGATGCTCTATAATCGTTGAACAATTTCATGCTATGAATATGGAACACTTTGCGAAATACTTTTTTTATTTTCATTTGAAAGAACAGATTCATAATTCTTTATAATTATTTAAAAAAGAAGAAAGAAATTGAATTAATTATTTTAGAAAAAGATTAAAGATTGAATATCTTTTTTAAGAATATAAAAATGTGATATAAAAAGTCGTTTACATATATATATATATATTAAATTAAGTCATTACAACGATCAAAGGCATTAAAGCTGCAGATATCTTTTCAATTTCTTCTTTAATATTTCTTGATCGGATCAAGCGAGCTTCGCCTTCGATTATCGCGCAACACATCGACGTTTGATATTGTGAATTGCTAGCACGTGATACGGGAGATTGAGTTTGTATCCATCGATACGCACGTGTCGGCACGTGGACGTATCTACCTGCTTCAAAGTCAGCGTGCGACTCACGGAGTGTCACCGTATTGGCGCGCGAACGTATATGCACGGATGCGAGCACAAAAGACGCGGTCGTATGAGTAATCGTCGCATGGAACGCGAAGTATTATTTGATCGAGAGTCACTGAGCTGGAAAATGATCGAGAAAAAGGCATTGGTGGATAGGAAGGAAAACAATCTTCGAAAATTATCGCGACAAATCGACCCTCTATTGCGTACAGAAATATATGGTGACAAATTATATTTAATAATTAGTTATTACCTGAAATTAAGTCGAAAATTTATTATCATTTTGTAATTCTAATCTAGTGACTGTAAAAAATATAGTTTTATCTCAAGAATGCAATGAAATCATGATAGTCTCTCTTTTATGCAGACACATAATTATACTGCACAAATTAAACGCGATATATACATATATATATACACACAGACATGCATTGTGTGATCTTTAATATCATTAATTTGTGTGTATGTGTGTACATGATTTCTCTAAGTAATTTATAAATTATTGTGGCGTATTTGCAACGTTAATTTATCTAAAATGTTATTTTCTAAGATTAAATTTTTAGTAGGATAGAGTGAAGAGATTCTTGGCAATTTCCGACAAAACGTTTCGTTTCGCCGGTTTCCTTGGAGTTTGTACGCCTTCTTTGTCGGTAGGACTAAAGGGAATTCCTTCGCGCGGGATCTCGCACTGCTCTTTGATATCACGATATTGAATGTTGGAACATTCATAACAGGTGCGTCCGTCCGTAACTTTGTATTCCGCTGATTTGTGTGTGCGTTTGAGGTTTCAAACGGAAACATCCCGTTCTGCATTTCTTAAGAATATGATAAAATGCGGTATGCGATTTCTTCGCGAAATGTTACCCTAAACTTTATGCAAAAGTCAATTAGAAAATAAAATTAAATAACTTTATATTAATATTTACTGTCTTATTTTACACAATATTAGAATATATATAATTTACAAAAATTGTTATTAGTAAAATGTGCGCAATAAAACAAAGTATAGAGTATTAGAGGTGAGAGAAACGCGTCAATAAAAAGCTATGAATAATTAAATTAATATTACGAGATTTTCTGAGTAGAAGAGAGAATCAAATTTCATTCAAAATCATAAAATTCTCGATCATTCTATTAATAATGGGAATTCTCCTCGAGAAACGCGATAATCCACAGTGGTCATCAGTGTGGCGATCCCTATGACATCATTAATCCTTCACGAAAGTCCTAAATGGAAAGGCCAGCGTATAATCTTCATGGGAGAATGTCCTAATTCAATACGCCCTGCGATATCGCGAATGCCAAGCATAATGCGCCATAAGTGTCACCGGCTGGGACGATTTATGCGAATCGAGTATATACGCGCTTTCGCCGACGCACATGCGAAGCCAATACGACAGAGGGAAAATGGCGGCGCAAAGGGTGGCTTGGTAAATGGTGTGTCGAATAACCCGAACAATATTGCCCGATGTTTGCCATATTATCCTGAAGTCACCCTCCGATGTTTGCGACAAAAGAGCCACATGAGAGATCCCTAATTTCGAAGTGAATGTTTAACAGCTAATCGTGATTATCGGTTTTAGTCACGCTTAGCAGGTAGAAAATTTATTGTACATGGAAAAAAGTCCATGTAAAAATTTTGAAAGCTGTCTCTTTGATTCATAATATTTTAGACTATGATTGTATTTAAAAATTAAGATTCTTAAAAACAATTCTAAGGATCTCCATCAAATAATAAATCAAACAAGTCGCTTTCAAAATTTTAACTTCTTTAGACTTTTTTACATGTATAATAATTTTTTCTATTTGTTAAAATAAGAAAAATGTGTTACAATTGTTTTAAACTCAAGGACTGTTTTGCTTTTAGGAAATGTTTTATTTTTATAAGCACAGGTAAGCTTTCGTTTTCGTCTAAGAACGATGTGAAAGAAGGTGATTATTTCAATATGTGCAATATTGCGTCCGACGCACGTCGGTGATCCGGGAGAGATTTGGAAGGTTTAATTTGTAATTAATAGTCGCTCATCGATGCATACGAGCTCGCGAGGGGTGCCGGTCGACCAGGCTTACAACGAGTTCAAGTATATTGGATTCCAGAGACGGCGAGGGGTCTGACCCTTCCACCCCCATTGATAAGGGTCATCACAATACTCGCCCCGTGTGCGCGCATCTCCCGCCGGTGAAGGGATAGCAAGGGTCGACTCCTCACTTTTTGCAGAGCGAGGGTGTTCGATTTAATTTAATTTCGATGCCCTTGTTTCTGTATATTCGAGCGCATTCTTTACGCGGTGAGAAAAGCTCTCGTTTTACATTCAGTGTAAAAAGAGACGCAAAGAATTCAGAAAACAAGAAGATAACGAACCGAGAAATCGATAAGTCAAGATTTCTGGATTTAAAGATTTTTAATTATAAAAATTTAATATCTTTTATTTCAAAGCTAATATTTGAAAACTAGAGAATTCATGGAATAATCATCTCTATGAAATCTAGAAACCTAGATGAAAAAAATGAGAAAAAAATGCAACAATGTGTCGATCCACTTCCAAAATCCTAGATCAGGAAATTAAAAATCCGCGGCGAAAGGGGAACACCATGAATCTCTCTCGTTCGCCAATGCGGCGACCTGTCTGGTTCGCTTCGTTCGTAGCAAAGCAGAGCCGAGTTTGAGAGATCGATAGAACCAGCAACTGCTCGACCACTCCCTCCGTTCGCAGGCTGACCAATCGAGGATGGTCATCCCCGGCTCTGACCTGAGTCTGGTCTCTCTTTTCCCTTCTTCTCTTGGAACGGTGAATTACGTGACGTCATTGTACGACGCCATTTTCGAGGCGCGTGCCAGAAAGCGTACGAATGATCGGAGCACCCCGACGGATTACGTCGCGCGAGAATGTTCTATGAAGAATGTCATCCTAGACGCGAAAAGAAACTTATTATTCTTAAATCCTAAATTGGGCCTTAAATTTTTTGGATTCTAGATTTTTACATAGAGAGATATTGTAGATTTCTTAATTTTTCCCCCATCCTAGATTTCTTATATTTTGAATTAAAAAATTCTCATTTCTTCTTTTATATTTTGTTATCTTCTTCTTTGATTAAAATTATTTAGATTAATCAATTTTCCTAGATTAAAAGACCGCTTGAGAGTCCAGACTATATGGTTCCTGATTCGATAAATGCTAAATCCATAACATTCTTTGAACTTGCCTACCTTAGAACCTTGCAACGGTTGCTAAATGGATTAAAGCACAGCATCTTTAGATCCTGCTTCGGGTTCGCTGCATTCCGAACACAGTTCATTTATCAGAACAGTAAGAATGTTGAGCGTGTTTATCTAAAACCAGACTACACAGATTAGAATCGTACCTGTGTTTGTATTGCAAAAAAAATAATTCGTTTTATCGTATATTTTAAAATTAATTAATTTTAAAGCCCATCGAGGTCTCTTTTTATATCAAATGTAATTAATCTTTTAGAAAAGTTGCGCTAATTTATTTAAATTCAAATTGTAAATCTCAAAGTTGTGTACACGTGACAGAACGAATAATTCTCCGCACTCCATATCGAATTTGTCAATCTACTCTCTAAAAGTAAATTAATGGTAACTTCATAGAGAAGAGGTGTTTTAGCACACAGTTGTTTTAGCATGTTATTTATTCATGTTCTTCAACTGTGTATTCTAAATTCCATGAAGAAATGCAATATTCAGATTCCTTCAAATTTATTTAGACTTGAATACGAAAGATAATAATCGTCAAAATTAATCATTTCAACTAGAGCGATATACGTTGAATAATAGCTTAAATATAATTAACTTTATCGAGGAAGGAAATTATTAATAATAAAGATGGAATTTTTAAATCTTGAATATCTCAATGACGTGATTTATTTTAACAAAATTTTCAAAACTGAACTTAAGTTGTTTTCAAACCAGACAATTCAAGTAATTCACTCCACTATTTGACAATGTCAAACCGTTCTCCAATATTGAAGCTAACGTGACGGCGTCTCACGAGACGAACGGCAGGCCGCGAAATAAAAGCAGCATGACGGACATCTCGCCATGTTAAGACGCGGACGCGTCATCCGGTAATTGCGATTTATTTCTCTTAATCGTCGCGTAAACGGCAGCCGATTTATGCGATTCGAGTTAATTTCGCGCAATTATATAATTACCGAGCGCGGCGGCCATCGTGCGGGCAGCGAACCTAATCGGTCTGAATCGAGCGAAGCGCCGTAATGGCAGCACTTAAATTTAAAGGCATTTTGACGACTTTGCGCAACACTTTGCAACTCATCCCCGAGTGGTTTCAACTCGGCGCTAGTTTCACCCTCTATTATCTTTCGCGAGACCCTTGATCTTTCAAGAAGACGCGAGTTTCTGTTAAGTTCTTAACAGCTGTGAATTAAACTTTGTTTTCGCAAATTGATAATAATCAACGTTTTTCTTTGCAAAATTCTATATTATATACATATTTCTTTGAATTTATTTATATGTTAATTTCTAAAAATCGACAATTAAAGAGTTAACTTGTAATGTGTTTAATTAGTTACATAAAAAAAAAACTTAATTCGGAGACTTAATTTTTGTTAAATAATAAGACTATTCTCCCTTATACAAAGTATTTCTGCTGCCTTTCTTCTAAATTCTTTTCTCGTTTATGTACATATTTCTTTTTTAAACGTGCGAAACATTATATTTATTAACTTTTAGTTTTATTCCATTAGATTTTCCATCGTTTGAATGAGAGGGTATAGTAAGAGGGTTAGTAGAGGGTTGGGATTCATTTTGCGGCGCGATGCTTGGTCTCGGCGTATAGCAAAGTGAGGGTACAAAATCGATACTAGACCTCCTCTCCCTACTCGGGATGGATGTCACTGTTTCCGCGCTTGGCAGCCATGCCTTTCGTCTAAGGAGAAATTCAGATAGTCTTAGATCTTGACAGTCGCATTGAAGTTATATGGGATTCAGAAGATCTAAGAATTTTTGCAAAAGTAGAAATTACTTTCACATTTCATCGTGGAATAAAAATCCAAGCAATATAAAATTGAATCAAGAATTAAAGAAATTCACAATTCCAGAAAATTATGTATCAAGGAATATGCAAAAACTGTAGAAAGAGAATCTAAAAAATAACTAAAGCAGTCAATAAAAAATACGAAAATTATTGTATAATCCTTATTGAAAGTACAAGGTCAAAGAGAGAGGGCTAGATGTAGGTATAAAATCATGAAAATATAAAATAACGAAAATTCCAACATGTCGACGTATCGCAGACATTTCTGAAGACTATATGCGAAATTATGCGACTGCATCGAGGTGAGAGAAAGGTATACAAATGGGCGTGGTTTTTCACGGCTTGCTGCATCTGCATCCCATGTGCGGACAATTCGAATCTGTCACTTTTACCGAGGAATAAATTATTCGATTCGATTCGATAAAAGAACAAAAAAAAAATCAAATAAATATTTCTCCCCGATTTATGCAGGAATCGCAATATTATCGATCTGTTCTTTTCAGAATATTTCGCATATATAACTATACGAAGAGACGAAATATTTTAATAATATATTAGATTTGTTTCGGCTACGAATACGTCGGCGATTTTTCCTCGCAAAAAATTAGATCGGCGATGGAGAGAAATGCCATTTTTCTATGCCGCATAATTTAACGCTATTTTTCTGCCTCGCATAATTCACCGACAGAGGAGCGGCGCGTTCAAGGAACGAGGATGCGAGCGGCGGGATCCTGGCGGCGACAGGAGCGAAATGTTTTGCAGACGCGTCCGCGGCTTTTTGTCCTGCGGACGATTTCGGTGGGTGAACATCGAGCCGAAGGAGGACGCCGTATGGATCGCGGCTCCCATTAAGCCCTTATTAATTGCGAGCATCTAAAGGACCGACCGATCTTTCTTGCGCTACCTGCGTACCATTCCGTTGGCCGCGTAAAGCTCGTCCTGCTGTCGTTCGACACAGTCAGGACATGGTAGGATGCTTTGATGTACCGTCGATATGCCGACGATTCGTACGCGAGTATATCAGATGAAGTAATGAGGATTTGTGATAAATCAAGAATAAATCGGGAATCGCGTAATTTTCTTCAAGAATAAGTACTTAATTTGAAAGTTTTTCTTAAATAATTTAATTTATTATTTCATGGCTTTATACGAGTTTTGAATAATCGCGGTACTAAATTAAAAATTATAAATAATAATATCTTCTTTTGTTCGGTTCACGTAATTAAATTATCACACTTACGTTAAAATTTCGTTTATCAAGTTTATTCGCTGGCTCGACAAAGAGCTTATTTTTTTATTTTACGGTAAAATTAATATTAAAAATTCAAAACTCCACAACTTCTCCAAATTCAAAACAAAATTTTAATTTTAAATTACACGCTTTTCGAATATTCTGTTCTTCATTGTGCTAAAAGCAAACTTGACAATTTCGCGGTCAGTTTTTTTAACGACAAAAGACTGCCATTCATTTAAATAGACAATTACTTTTAGGCGAATCGTAAAGAGATGTGCTCTTGGAACGGAGCAGGTTTACTCTCGGAATCCATTCGCCGTTTGGTGAAACCAAAAGTCTACTTACTTACCGGAGAGGGGTGCGTAGTGGCCGTGAGGATAGGGCGGCGCCGACGAAGCGTCGACAAGGGACTGCGACGGCGTCGTCGACGTCCACTCCTTGTAGGATGCTGCAGCGTGCGCGTGATGCGCCGCATGGTGAGATGTGTGGTGGCCGAGGCTGCGTGCACCACCAAGCAGAAGGCCACTGTAACTCGCCGCCGCCGCCATATTGTGGTGGTGGTACTCGTGTACAGCTCTAAAAATAAAAATAAGAAAAAAAAATAAGGGAAAATTCGCGACCTGAAATGAGAACTGTGGATGATGATCTGCGATGATGCGAAGAAAAAGTGCTCCGAAATGGAGGACATACAAATTTTTGGGTCAGAGATAATTAAAATTAACCACTCATGACGTATGGAGATAGAGATGCGTTGCATCAAAGTGATATAAAAATAGTATCGCATACCTCGGCGTGCCAATATGGTTGTCTTAATTAAAGCGTGACTAGTATTTAGAAAGCAATGAGACACAAATTAATATTCGCCATCAGATCCAAGATGATTGTAAAGTTATATATATATAAAAAAATATGTAAAATAAAAAAAGAATCAATGTAACATTTTGGATAAGGGGCGCCCTAAAGAGGTGAGATGAAAGGTAAAGAAAAAAAGAGAGAAAAAGAGATGCAGCGAAGAAGAAGGATAGCGACGCGGTTTAAAAGCGAAAAGAAAGAGCACGAGCATGTGAAAAATACTGAAAACCGTCGGGAGCAGGTAACGCCGAGATCTTTAACACTGATCCGACTACGGCCACTCGTATAAATTACGAGTCTCTGTCACCGTCGCCGTAGGAAGAGGACGGAAGATATTGGCGACTTCTTTTTTTTTTCCTCTCATACAATTTTTCCCTCTTCGCTCCTCTTTCCCACGTGTAACTTTCTTTCGGGATTTTACATATCATGTATTTTAAAAATATTTTTATCTCGACGAGCATTTGCTTCTTAATCACATGTAGTACGCATGTACTAAATGTGATCGTCGGATGTTGAATTTGATTCTACTAACGGAAAGATTGCATTCAATTTTATCACATTTCGAGAATGTAGAATGGAAATATAAGCCATAAAAGACGGATCAATTTGCAATTGTGAAAAAGAAAAAAGAAATAATGAGTTATCAAACAATTAATCCGACTGAAGATTGTATTTAAAAAATGCACATGACGCATATCATCTCATTAATTAACGTTCGAGCTGCGTAGCATTTAATGGCGAGTTCGCTAGAAAAATCTTCAGAATGTGATCCCGGTTTTACGTCCTTACGGTGTGGTTGGATGCTGGGAGTCACACGCGATTACTCGTCGCACGCGTTTAAGAATCAATGAGACGTCACGGAACACGGCGCCGATATTCACGCAACATTGTAAAGAATGCTTATTAAGGGACGGAAAAAAAGTTATACTATTTATGTAAAACGAAGGATAGAGAAAGAGAGAGAAAATAGAGAAAAGCGACAATGATCGGTAACACTGACCTGTGGTGGTACTGCGGGTAATGCCACGGATCCGTCGGATACTCGTAGACATCACCGGGATGCTGACTATTCCAAAAGGAAGGGGGGAAATTCCTCATGGACATGGGAGAGATATTTTCTGCAATAAAAAAAGAAAACACAGTTTCAGCGGCGTGCGCTTTTAATGGACTGTGCGAGAAAACGCGTGCCTACGAAAAATCTTCAAGAAAGAAAGAGAGAAAAAGATAGAGAGAGAGAGAAATCTCTCGCCTCTCTTTATTTTCCTCTCTGGTGGACATTCTTCGTCTTCAGAAAATGTCCCAAATAATTAAAAGGTTTCATCGATTGTTTCTGTGTAATTTTAATCCTTTCCTCCCCGAACTCTTTGACACTTCTCCGGAATCTGATTAAGAAATATGTTACTTGCAATTATACAAATATCGCACCATTACTATTTTTTTTTTTTTCGATTAGAAGTCGATTGTTAAGAGTAACGATGTCTGGAGCAGGCAGCGTCATAAATACCGGTAACAAACCGATGATCCTTGAGTGATGAATTCTACCGATAACTCGTCGTGTTTCTTTTCCCCAGGGAGAGGACGATCTTCTCCCGGAAAACGGGTTCTCAAGCAGTCGCGCTTCCACCAGAAACCACTCGTCCTAACCGGCGGAAATAAATAACGCCGCTGGCCGGCTAAATCATCGTAGTTTGTAACGACGGAGTAAATTAGCAGCCGGTATGCCTCTCGTAGCAGATAATCGAAGTGACTTAGCCGGAGATGAAATCGCGCGCGCGCGCGCGCGCGGGAAGGGAATTGGAGGGCATAAATCGTGGACCGTACGGTCGACCTCGCGTTGGTCCACAACCTTCGGGCGCGCGTTTCGATTGGCCGGGGGGGATGGGTAAAAAAAAAGAGAGAAAAAAAAATAAAAAGGAGAAGAGGAATCCAACGTGAGCGAGGACCGCGCGAGAGGATTGCGGGAGGATACACGACAAGCTTCTGGCTTCAGAGTGGCCGCTTGTAAAACAACCGAGCGGTACCCTTCTGCCTTCCGCCGATTCGATCCCGTGGGATTCTGCTTGCCCGTTTAGCGAGGTCCTCTAAAATCCGTGGGAACGACGCGGAATATTTTAATAAAGCTTCATCAATCGATCGAACTATTATTGTCGTGATTATATTAATTAATTGCGTGAAGAGTAATATACGATTAATGCGCGATTTATATTAAATATATGCAATTAGATTAACATACATTTAATTTAATGTTACCAAGTTTTTTGCTGAAAATTAATTGAAAAGATTATTAGAAAATTAAAGAGTTATATATAAAGTCACCGAGAAATGTTCTTTAACAAAATTGAGAATACAGATATATTTCAGGAATTAATCGCAATTAGATTAACATACATTTAATTTACTTTTAAAGAGTAATTAAATGACAATTCAAAAATTCCATGTTGTCACCGTAAGTATGATACTTCAATTCTCGAGAGACGGAAACATAGCCGGGAACCTCGTGGGACCGATTGCGACCCCTCTCTCCTTTCCCGCCTAGTATCTACCTCGGTCCCGGTTGGCTGACTGTCCTTTATTTATTAACGCAATTAAAGAAACAGAGTGTCGACCGTCTGCGGCCGGCTTTATTCTTTGCCGATGCCGCGACCAAAGAGAGAAAGGGTATCGTTCTACGTAAAGGGGAACGAGGGGAGGGCAGGGGGTGGACCGGGTAGAAAGGGTTGTCGATGTTTGGTTCGCCAATAAGTATCCGCGTGTTCTTTAGAACTTTAGAAAACGCCGACGTTTTAATCGATGACTTGCGAATCTCGATATCGCTCTTGCAATCACACATTCTTAAATAGCGGAATCAATAGTAAAATATTCTCTCAGAGATTACGCAACGATAATACTCGAAAAAGACACTAATACACGTATATATAAAAAGTTTTACATTAAATTTATTTAATTATGAATTAATATTATTCTCTCGGTCGTTCACAATCCCAAAAATAACTGTCTTTCAATAGAAGAGTTTTTGTTTACTTCAAACCGGAACCCCGCCGTATTTTTTCAAGCCAATTATTCGAATTCCTTTTTAATTCCAAGAGCAAACCTTTCTCCATCCAGCCATCCCTCTTTGTTTTGGCAGTACGCGCGTTTAAGCTTAAAGCCGCTTCAGTCCTTGTACGTACGTTACCCGGCATTCCGCGGCTAAAACTGTCTCCCGCGATGTCACCCCTCTATCCCTCCTCCTTTTCCCTCACAATGTCTTTCCTCAGCCCTCCACCACCATCCCTCTTTTCCCAACGCAGAAGCTCTTAATTTACCTTTCGTACGAGAGCGGTCGCGGGAAGTTAACGCGCATCAGAAGAGAGAGAGAAAGAGAGAGGACGAAGGGCGAGGAAAAGGGGCGGGAGGGGCAGGGAAGTGGTGAGCCGTAACAATTAGGTCGTGTTGTCTTGAATTCTAAGCAGGCTACTGAACTGATCCTCGGCACCTCGTAGCCGGGATAAATGCGGCCTTAAACGACACCGATATAGACGAGCTTGCCGATCGCTTGCCAAACCCGCTCGCGTGCTGACAATCCTCCCTCCTATCCCGCCCTGCCTCCAATCCTCTCTTCGGCGGTCGGGATGTTCCCTCTGCTCTTTTCTCCCCACTGCTGTGCCCTGCCCTGCCCGCGTTTTAAGCTCGGCGCGAGTACGACAGGCGAGTTACAATTGTCACGAGGCTTGTTAGCCTTGTCGCCGACTAATGGCGTACTTTATTACCCGCTTCAGAAACGTTTGCTCGACTTCATCGAGATCGAAAAGATGGACTCCGATAAACAATGCGAACTTTAACCCTTTTAGAGCCCCCAAGGTAGCCACATATCCGTAAGTTTATAATATAAATATATAAGATACGTATTTTTTTTTAAATCAATTATCTCTCTTTCCTTCAATACAGAAATAGATAATTTTATCTAGATACCATTTATTTACTCACCCTTTAACTTGTCGTGAGCGAGGGCTCTCTGAAAGTGCTCCTCGACTTCCGACGCCGCGTCGCCTCGATAATGCGTGAACACGACGCAGTTCGCGTTAACGTATTGCGCCCTGCTCTCGCCGTCGTCGGAGTCCTCAGTAGCGGTACCAGCACCTACGCCTGCATTGATAGCATGATGCATTAAAATACATAAATATTAAACCGACGAAACGCACGTCGCTTCAAATTGAAACAATTAATCGTCCGCCTTACCGTCCGCCGATCTGTCATCGTCCAGTGTTCGCGAGGGTTGCGAGGTGGTGGTTGCGAGGGGTGGTCGCGGTTGCGGCGTTGGCCTTGGGGATGCGGGACTCGGCGCGGACCCTACGGAACCCGCGCTGCTCGGCTGACCTTGAGGGACGCTTCCGCCGGTGCCGCAGATCTCGATACCAGCTGCTTCCAACGACCTTTGATGAACATTTAGCTGCAATGAAACGCGATTCATGACATTAATCTCAGATGCAACGTTATCGATCCTTAAAATTTTATTCTTTACTCAGATTTGTTAGTCCGTTTTTACATTACAAAGATTTTTTGATCTTATATGCGAGGATCATAGTAAGTTTGTTAGTAAAATTCTGATTTGTTGACGAGAGTTAATAATGATTTTTAACTATATTTTGCAACAGAAAATAATGTGAAAGGTATGACAGTAAATTTTGGCTTTCGAATTACAAGTATTATTAAATATGATAAACACATCTATATGTTTCGAGATCATATATATTCGATTATGTACATATATCTTGATTATATATATATCCATATATTTTTATATTTCATTATTGATTTTATATCTCATTATTTTTATACTTGCTCTTGTTCTTGCTTTGTTTTACGAATTCCAAAGTTCTTGTGGTTGCAGTTGTAAAATTCTATCTCATAGAGTTAATTTCTATCAATTCTAATTCTCTCTCTATATCTGATATACTAAATTTCTTGATTTCACGCCATAAAATAGCATAAATTGCGGATTATCCCTTTAGTAAAATACAATGAATGACAAAATACAAATAAAAGATTTATCATAGAGAAAAATCATAATTGCTTATGATATGGAACACATGCGATCGCGCTGTTTATCGGTTATTAGGTTAACGATATCGCTTAACCGGTTAGCCACTTGACCAATCATTAATGATGACTATTCAACCGGTTTAATTAGTCGGTTGATACAAATTGCACGATCATTATGACTTTATAATTATTAAAGAGCGAAGGAAAACGTTGGAAAATCCGCTACAAATTTCGAATTCTGGAATGAGAGAAATTAAAAATTGCTTTAAAATAATATCCGGGACTTTAAATCGTTTAAATGCCTCTTCGATTTTCTAAATTTAATTTTCTCGAATCTCGAATCTTCACATCTATAAGGATATGGATCAAACTTTTCGACGATAGCAATGATACAATAATTTCTGATGTACACATCGTCTATTCGCACGATAAATGTTCTAAATTTTCATCTTCCTCGGCTTCCTCGATCATTCTGTATCTTCTAGAACATCAAGATCTTGTCACAGCCGATCGACGAAATTCTCGAACGGCAAATCGTGCGAGCCAAGGTGAAACGTGGTCGACGATCGCATTGCTCGCGTGACGCAGTGATCGCGATGATGGGACGACAAGAGAAATACGAGCGTGTAAATACCGGTGCGTTTTAACGGCGATAGCCGGGATTTTCCGCGTGACATCGAGGCCATGCGTTTTCTCGTGCGCTATAAAGAGAATGTCGACGACGGGAACGGCGACGAACGGTGGCCCATTGACTTCCACATTGTCGGCATGCTCACAATTCGACACCGCAACGGCCTAATGATTCAAGCCTTCCGGTCGTTGCGCGCATTCTTCAAGCGAACATTATTCCTAAAGATTAGATGGTGGCATATACAAGGGATGCCTGACGAAATCTGAAGTCGATCTTTCTTTGCACGAGGTTAATTTAAAAAAAGTTGAGGGACGTTATAAAAATATTTATTATCGGAAATCATAATCGATGGATTAGAGACTCGAGGAATTAAATAAATTTCTCTTCCGTCATAAATTAATTTTGATTGATGGGCATGTAAATTTACATTACTGTTTTAATACTGATTTTATCGCGCAGATACGTTTTTTAATTAGTTCCCCGATATGTTGCTGGAGCAAGAATGCGTATCGATGTCCAACAAATCACTGCGAATCGTGCTTTTCCTGCCCTCTCGTCGGCGGCGGGAACGACGAGCCGAGAGTTTCGTTCGCCACCCCGCCAATTACGTGCATGCATCAGCGATGCACGGAAATAAGCTGACGCTGATGTATGCGCCGGTCGGCGGAAGGGTGCGCGGGACGAGGGTAGAGGAAGCGATGAAGAAAAGGAAAAAGACAAACGACTACGCCTCCGAGAGAGAGAGAGAGAGAGAGAGAGAGAGAGAGAGATGCTATCGTTATCTACTCCAATAAACTCGGACTCGACGCGCTTCATGGTGCAGTACATCACCGTCCTGATGCACAAAGTGATGACGAGCGATGACCCGGAGAATAGGCGGGTCGTCGAATAAAACTATATTCGCTTGTCGTCTGCGGCCTTTGCGACTGCTGATTGGTAGGCGGTTCGCGATGAAAGGCGGAGTAGCTTTATAAGCTCGGCGCGCATAACATCTACGAATATTGTCGGACACTAGCGCGATTCGTTGGCGAACGGTCGATGGGTATTCCGGACGATTGCGTCAGAAATAACGAGCATTACATGATTCGCTTGTGCAACTATTAAAGCAATCGATGAGGCCATTCGATTTGAATTGACAATTGGGATTTATCTGAGATCAGGATGTAGGATTCGCGATTCTCCAGATCATATTTCACCGAATTTAGATTTCGCTGAGCAAAGTTATAGCAGAATGAACACAAAAAAAATCTCAAATCGAAAGATTATTATCTTCCGTTAATTTATCGAAAGCTTCAAGTATTTTTTATTCAGACTGACGCCCGTTCGATCGATGCCCGTTCAATCGCGCCGCGCGAAACTCACCTCTCTCGCGAGGATGAGAGCGCGCGTAGGAGATTAAATCAAGGGGAGCTGCGGGTCTTCCATAGATTACCGTGCACGGCGGAACATCCAGCGCCGGTCGGCCGGACGACAATGTGGTAATTAATTGAAGCAAGACCGTCCCCGACAGCCCCTCTTCCTCTTTTGCTTTTTCTCCCTTCTTCGCCTCGCAGCCAACAGGCAGCTCTAGTCAAGAGAGAAAGAGAAAAGGAAAGAGAAAGAGAGAGAGAGAGAGAGAGAGAGAGAGCTGCTCGCGGCCTTTCAAAGCATTCCAAAGCGCGAGTCCGCCCGTTCCTCTCCACGGCCTCCGCTCGCTTCTTCTTCTTCTTGCCCCTTCCCTCCCTCTCTCCCTCCCTTCCTCGTTCCCCTTCCTGCCGGTGTCGAGTCATTTCACGAAAGGCCCGAGAGACCGCATCTTTATTTCTTTCCCTTTTGTCTTATAGATCTCTGAGAGACCTACGATATATATCGTAGGATCTCTTAACTCTCTCACAGATCGTAGCTCCTGATCCTAGGCTCATTGGTTTCGAGAGTCCTTATATTTGAGGTTCACTGAACCGAATGTCACTTGATTCCCCTGATTCTCGATTCGTTAATTTCCACGGATGTTCCACGATTCCCTTCATCGTTCAGAAGTTTAAGACTGAGAGTGAGAGGGAGGAAGGAGGGAGGAAGAGAGGGAAGGTGCAAGCTGATGCTATTTATCGTCTCGCGCGGGTACGACGGGCAGCCGAAGGTGGTAACGAGCAGGTAAACCCTTTAGTCAAACCTGGGCCGCGCGTTTGCATTTATATCGCGAGCCGGCGATATTATTCACGGTGTGTATCTTTGCGGCGGGGCCGCATTAAGCGGATACCGGCGCGCTTCTTTCCTGCGGCGGAATACCCTTATCAGCGGGTGGCACACCGTTTACTCATTTGTGGACGTCTGGTAGCACTTAGCTGTTATTATGAAGCGAGGTCCCGCGGGAGATAAAGCGAATAGTACACGCTCAAGCCAGACGATTAGCTGGTATATCGCGAGGCGTGCAGGAATAGCGAATGTGGGAAGTAAAGGAGGAATAGGATGTAAAGGGTGTAAAGGACTCTCTCTCCCGGGATCTGGGAAAACCAGGGTCAAGGTTATTGAAAATGTGAAATGCCGAGTGTTCAACGATCACGATTCTAATACTGAATCTCTCATCCGGCACGCTGAAGAAGTTTTGAGTTTAAGAAACTTGAAACATGGAAAGTATAAAAATCGAGAATAATTCAGAATATATAGGATTTAACGTAACAAATAATATAAAAAATATATAAAATAATAAAATAAATACAATAATAACAAATATAAAATAGGTGAAAAAAATATTGTTAATTTAAGTTATAATTAGTGACAGGATCGAAACAGAAAGGACTGATGACCGAAACATAGTAAGCTCTCTCGTTACTCTGAGGTAGCATCGCGCTCATAAGATCCACCGCAGTGGCGATCGATCAAATCAGGAATCAAATAAGGAATTTCAGGCATCTAGCGACATGATGTTGTTTATCTCGAGACGCATTCGCAATCGCGGAGACCTCGCGTTGACACCGAGGGAAGGCTGTCGAAAATATTGTGGCGAGGAAGCGTTACACGCGTTTCTACGTTATCTTCTTGGATGATCGGCCGATGTTTTAGCATTCGCGTAAGATGCTAATTGAGACGAGCGATAGATACCTCCTAGAGGAATCCTTCGATTGACGCGTTTACCGTCTTCGCCAACACAACGTTAGCCGATAACTGTCCGCAAGAGTTTGTAAATCGTTGAATTAATTAGCGCGAGGCGCAAATATGATCGAAATTATGCGCCGTTAAATCCTGGCTGGAATCCGGCTCTATTTATCGGCTTTACGATTATGCTACTGGGCGAAATTCATAGGGTCAGTTTATTCGAACAGCGTCGAAATTCCCGCGAGTACGATACTTTCCGCGCGAACGATAACGATTATCGTCGCGTTTGCTCTCAATCTGAATTATTGTCACTCAGTTTAATTGCTAATTTTTCCCACTGCATACGATTTCCCATCGATAACAATGAGCTTCAATACATCATTTGTAGATTAAGAAAAATTAGATGCGGTTCAAGATAAATAATAAGCTTAAAAAAGAAATTAAAAAAAAAAGTTGAGAAAAAAAAACAAGTAGAATTTTTTTTCTGAAAGAGAGATTTAATTATTGGAGAAACAAGTATGTTTAATTTCTTACTATTAATTTTTCGTTTCTTTTATCAAGTCTAGTCCAAATAAATGTCTTTTAATGTTGAGGAATTTCTCGAGCTGGTGGAATTGCGTCGCATCGACATAGTGACGTCTGGTGCGATTTCGCTGTAATTTGTCGGCGAAATCGCGGCATCGTCCACCTGGCACAGCCGCTAA